TTAAGAGTATGGACTCTGCAGCTAAACCACCTGAGTTGAGTTAGTATTCTGGTCCCTTCACTTACTGGCTCCATGAACTTGGGCAAAATACTTAATTTCACTGTGCTTGTTTTCTAATTTGTAAAATGTAAATAAGAATACCACTACTCCATAGGATTGTTAAAAGGATTACATTAAAACAACATAGAAAGTATTCAGGAATGGTGCCAGGCACACACTCAGTGCTATGTAAGTGTTAGCTATCATTACCGCCTATTGAGCCATTCTTTCCCCAAATGACTATGTGAACCCTGGGTAAATATCTGAGCCCTTACTAAATGCCAGGTATTAAGTATTTGATGTGCATTTATCTTATTTAATCCTTACAACGTATGAGATAGGTTACTTTTCTTTCTTAATAGATGAGAAAACTGGTGTGACTTAATAAGGCCATGCAGCTAAACCTAGACAGTCTGACTACACTCTCCTAACCATTACACCCCCACTATTTCCTCCATTGACAGAAAAATTAATCATAAAAATCCTAGCTTTTTAGATGTAGATTATCCCTTCATATTAATTCCAGATTTACATACTGAGGAAGCTAAAGCCCAGCAACTTAAGTGACTTCTGTCAAGGAATAGTGTTTAAGACACTTTGGACAAGATCACTTTCCTATTTCTCTTTATCTGGAAATTAGGTAATACTGAATCAGATTCTTAGATTACCTACTTTTGGGACAGGATTCTGGGGCTCCTAATTTGGATTGGCAATGTGGTATAGTGAAATCAGAAAACAGACCTAAAATGTCCCATTCCAGTTCTAGCAATAGCTACCTCATAGATTGTTTTAAATGAAACTTAAGTATTTTAGAGCCAAGAGACCTCTGATCATTTTACAGACAAAGCAGTATCTTTCTCTAGACAGTAAATATAAGTGTTAAGGCTTTAAAGTTTCTAAGGCATTACAAAGTTATTTAAAATTTTAACCTCTTACTAGCAGCAGATGTGGATGATAGGGTCCCTACCCATAAAAAGCAAGAAGCTATTCAGATGTAAGTTATAAAAATCATCTCATTAGAGCCACTGGCAATAACTTAATACAAAGACTCCAAATGAGAAAACTCTGCCAATCATTTTAAAATATTACATGTAGTAAACCTAGTAATTAAAATGGCAGTAACAAAATATTCTTACCTGAATCACTGAACCTCTCAAATTTCTTTTGTTGATCAAGTTATTAGTATATCTTTGTATATGATCATTTTATGGTCTGCAGGGGCATGGTTCCTTTTGATATTATATAAGAAATTCCAGAGCCAGATGGTATATTAAATATTTATTCAAGACAATATTATGTAAAACATATTTACAAATAGTCCCATAGAAGACTCACAAATATTTTAAACTTAGGATGCACACTTGCCATTCACAGTGCATAAGGAAAAAGGTGATCTCTAGAGCAACTATGTAACAAAATGTAACACAAAAGAGAATTTTACTTCAGCAAATACCTTCTTTACATTGAGGAAAATGTCCTTAAACATTTTAATTTTATTATACTCAGTAGGAAAAGAATAGTCTGTATAATTTTTTATATAGGCCTCAAGAATTCCTGTTTTTCAGAATTCAAGATGACAATGAGCTTAAAGGCCACTACATTCCACTCTGGGCAACAGTGAGACTCTCTTAAAAAAAAAAAAATTCTGTTTTTCCTTTAGATAAAATTGACTTCGTAGTTCATGGTTAAGAAACACACAGTAAAGAAAAGGTTTCAAAATATTTGTTCGGTATTTTTTGTCTTCAGTTAAACTCCCCCCAAATATTTTTCTTTAACTTCAACTATTCTTTATTCCACTTGGTAACATTTTTCATGTTTAGCAATAGTATATGTTTGTCCTCTTTAAACATTTAAAATGATTAGGACATTTTAGCATTATCTCAAGTTTCAATTTGATGTAGAAGTCAGTTTACACACATTTATATCTTACAAATAGTGAATAAAAGTGCATTCCATATAATCTGATCTGAATGTAATGAGAAAAAATACATTTAAAACAATAAATTAACCTTCTTTACCATTACTTTATCATGTAGGAGGCAAACAAAACAATTCTAATACTTAAATATTTGCTAAAGATGACAGCCCTTGGGATATATGTATGTTTGTAGATACATACACCCTATACACATCTATACATAGGTAAATATGTATGTATGTATATAATGGGTATAACTGGGGAGATCACATATATCCTTGAAAAAAGATATAATAAAAACAATTAGTGAAATATTAAATGAATAAAAACAGTTAAGATAAACTACAGAAGATTTCAGAGAAGGAATAAGCACATGGAAATGGAAAGGATAGATTAAGACTTCAAGGTGGAAGTAAGACTTTTTCCTGAGCCCTAAAAGAGAGCTATAATTGTGAGAAGCTATAAGGGAAAGGTAAGGTATTCCAGCCCAGCTTCAGGAGAACTGTAAATCAAGATTTCTAAGTACCTATGCTCACTGAAGCATTTCAGTAAATGGGAGATCACCGTAGAAAGGGGAATAGAGGAAATCTGTGTAGAGGGCTTTACATGCCTTTAAATTTGAACTCTTTTCTAGGATTATCAATGAACCAACAATGGAATTTTAAGCAAGGAAGTGACCCAATCAAAAGTTTCTTAAGATCAAAAGGCAACTATGCAGAAGATACTAGATAGGGAAAAGGCTGAAAGCAAAAAGTTGTAATCACAGTGGTTTAGGAGAAGGAAGTGATAAGATTTGAGATGCTTTTTATGGTACTGGCACAGGAAGGGCAAAAAAGAATGTTAGGAACTTTCAGCCTATCACAGGTATAACTCACATAATGTGACTTTCGTAAATCCACACTGTCCAGAGATACTTTGATCTTTTGATTCTCACTAATTAAGGGCTTCCCACGCTTTATTGATGAACTTGAGGTTCCCTACCAGATAGTTAACAACCACAGTATATATGCAACAGTGTACCTGCTTCTTAAAGGTACCATAGGGTTAAATGTGAACCTCTATACCCTAGCAGCAGTTCTCAAACTTTTTATTAAGCCTAAGAATTACCAGGAAAGCTTATTTAAAATGCAGATACCTAATCTCCTTTTTGACGTGCATTTGTAAAGATGCATCCCAGATGATCCTAACACAATGGTCCTTAAGTCCATCTTAGGTCATTCACTGTAAAACAGGTATAATTGCTATCTTACAGAGTTATAACAATTAAATGAAATGATATGCATTACTTATCTAGCAATGGCCCTGACACTTTGCAGATGCAGATATGATAGCCTTACCTCCTCCCTAAAATGCTAATTTTAGATTTACAGATACTGAGTTTTCTTAAAGCACACTAAAGAATGGTTTCCCAATACACCTGCAGAGTCCCTAATTTGTTGTATTAACTAATAAAGAAACATAGCACCTTAGGAGAGGCTTTCCTTCCTCTTCCATTGCAAAGAAAATAGTTATATGTGCTTTCTTCTGTCTTTTTTCACAGAAAGATTGGTCTTCAAACTGGGATAGGACAGGCTGGGCATGATGGCTCACGCCTGTAATCCTAGCACTCTGGGAGGCTGATGTGGGAGGATCGCTCGAGGTCAGGAGTTCAAGACCAGCCTGAGCAAGAGCGAGACCCTTGTCTCTACTAAAAATAGAAAATAAAATTATTAAATATAAAAAAAAATTAAATAAAAAACAAACTGGAATAGGACAAACAATTTAAAGAGAAAAAGGCCCAAGATAAGTGAAGAGAGATGAACTATTAAGCCCCCAAGATAAGTGAAGAGAGATGAACGATTAAGCCCATCTACTTGCACAACTCTCCCCTCCTGCTTTTCTCCTCTCCTTGCCAGTTCCTTGGGGGCTAGTGGACAAGGTTTTAATGGTTGCCAGTTGGTGCTCTACAGAGGGCACTGGGTGCTATAACCCTTCCAGTGCCTGTTCCATTCCTCCTGGTTCACAGAGGGTGATGGCATGTGTTCACTTGGATACTAGAGACAAGCCTTTTTCTGGGCCAGGGTACCTGAAGGAGTGAGGCAGAAGACTGCACAAGCATGACAAGTTACTTAACCCTAAGTTCAATTTTCTCAAGTTATTTTAGCGCTATTCTGTAGGCACTGGGGACTCTGATGGGGTTTGAACAAATCAAAACTAGTTCCTTTCCCAAAAAGAGTACCGCTATTCACCCCCCAAAAAAACCAACAACAATAAAACAGACTAATGAATTTTTAGTTTATTTTTGTTAAAATATAAAACTAGGATTAAATTCTCAAAGTCTAAATTAGACTAAATGTTATACAACCCACCGAATGGATTTATAGTTTGACAATGTTCCTTCAAAGTGTCTAGTCATCTTTTTCCTTTTTCAAAAACCATTCTGCCCCAGTCTTCACTTACCATCACATGCACTTTATTCCATCAAACATCATTTCTCGGGATCAATCTACTTAAATAGTCATTAAGCCTGTTTAGTTTTCCCAGTCTTAAAATTTGTCATCTTGACTATACATCCCAAGGCACTACTTTTCTCACTTTTTCTGGTTAGTACCATAATGTTCCATAATGAAACAATAAAAGTTGTGTGTTTCTCTAAAATGGAAGATCAGTATATTCGATGGCTATTGTATCAACCACTTAGTGAAAGTACAACTACTCATCCTTATGTTAGTTAACTGAAATTATAACATAATAAATTAGTCAAACTATTACTTTTGTCATTTAGTTAATACTTACAAAATTCATGAAATGAACACAGCTTTCCATAACTTGACAGTTGCTTTCCAAATACTTCACATTCAACCCCGTATTCTTACAAAGAGAAAAAACCCAAACGTACTTTCTTACCTAAAAACATTAGAGGACGCTAAAAGGTATTTAGAATTTTTTAAACCTTGAAAAAGAGTATCATACTTCCAACATGTATTTAAGTTATAAATCAGTTTCTATCCAGTGACACTGCTTCAATTTAAGTACATCCTAGTTAAGTTAATTGGGTACTGCTTCATCTTGTCAAGTCAGATGGAGATTCTGTTGCATCAAGGCTCTTATTCAAGATGTCTCCTTCTATGAAATTGATATTTTTTTAAAAAAAGAGAGGATAAGCAAATATTACCAATAAAAATAAATACAACAGATTCCAAGTAGCAGCAAATTTCAGCCTTAGGGGAAAAAAAGGTTCATAGTTATGCAAATACTCAACTATGATAAAATTACTATTATTCTCACTAAAATACCCTCTTTCTCCAGAGACGAACATATTCCTCCTAGGATATAACAGTGTTTATCACAGGCAAATCAAAGTCACATATAATGAATCTGTATCACTAGGTCCTTATCTGTCCTAACATGCTATAAGAGCAATTTTTTTTAAGTCTTTAATGAAATTTCAAACATATAAAAGTGAAGATAATCATGATTACCCAATGTATCTACCACCCAGCTTCAATAATTATTAACTATTATGGGTTGAATCATGTGCCCCAAAAAGGTATGTTGACATGCTAATTCCAGTACCTCAGAATGTGACTTTATTTGAAAATATGGTCATTACAGATATAATTAGCAACGATGAAGTTATATTGGAGTAGGGTGGGCCTGTAACTAACTAATATGACTATGTCCTTATAAGAAGATACACAGACACACAAGGGAAGAGTGCCATGTGAAGATGGAGGCAAAGATTAGAGTTATCCTGTCACAAGCCAAGGGATGTCTGGCTAGAAAAGGCAAAGAAGGATACTCTTCAAAGTAGCTTCAGCGGAAACGGCCCTGCCAACATGCTGAGTTTAGACTTCTAGCCTCTAGAACTTACTCTCTCCAGACACAGTAAACTTCTATTGTTTTAAGTGGCCAGTTTGTAGTACTTTGTTATGGTAGCTCTAGGAAACCAATACACTGACCAACCATGTTTTGTTTCTACTCCCTGCCTCCCATCAAATTTATTTCAAAGAAAATCACAAATACATCATTACAACAATGATATTTAAAACTGTATTTCTGGCCGGGCATGGTGGCTCACACCTGTAATCCTACCATTCTGGGAGGCTGAGGCAGGATGATTGCTTGAACTCAGGAGTTCGAGACTAGCCTGAGCAAGAGGGAGACCCTGTCTCTACCAAAAGGCAAGGAAAAAAAAAAACCCCAACTGGGCATTGTGGCCCATACCTATAGTCCCAGCTACCCAGGAGGCTGAGAAAGAAGGATTGCTTAGAGCCAGGAGTCGGAGATTGCAGTGACAATGGCACCACTGCACTCTACCCAGGGCGGCAAGTGAGACTCTGTCTCAACAAAATCAAATGTTAAAAAAAAAAAAAAAAATGTATTTCTCAACTTTTTTAAAACCACCTTCCACTAGACAAGAGGATTTTGATGAGATTTACTTTCAGTAGTTTGTATTACAAAAGCAGCAAGTTTCAGGTTTGGGTTTTTTTGTCCCCCCATCCCTAACCCAAACCAATTGTAAACTATATACATGTCAACAGAAATTCTGAAAGAACCCATAAAGTGAGGGATCATTCCTCTCATCCTAGATAAACGAGGTGCATATTTTGTCAAATTAATGACAAAGATCATGCAGCATTCATTGTGTACTATTTTTATGAAAAGTTGAGGAGAACTTCAACAGGTGAATATGCACGGGTCTAGTTAAATCTTACCTTTTAAATTAGGCAGTTCTCCAAGACTACATGGCACTGTGGTCTTCAATCTTTGCTCCACTGGAGAAAACTTAATTAGCGGTGAAAGAGACTGTTTTCTTTGACCAAGAGACAGGCGTAAAGATGGTTTTGTATACTCAGTGTGCAAATTATGAGAGTCAAACACATCATCTGTTTGCACATTTTGGAGAGTGGGGCTCAATTCTGGCTTGCGTTTTTCAAGTGTTTCAGTATTTGAGAGGCAAGAGTCTTCCCTTTTCTTGGAAAGAGATTTCTTCAGAGCCTCATATCTACTGCAAATAGCCTGAAAATTGAAGTTTGATTCTGGGGTAGTCTGTCTTTCTCCCACATCTTCTGGAAAAAGGTCACTGTGCACAGGACTATTTGGTTCCAGTTTAAAACTGGCCTCTAAACTACTGGAGCTACTAAGACTTAGGTGACCAACTTCTTCTGGAAGAGTTTCATGTAATATGCCAAAATCAATATCCTTAAAACTCTTAGAACCAATACCACTTGGTAGTTGAAAAGAGTCCCATAATGTAGTTTTATTCATGGAAGGTTTGTTACTAGAAGCTTGTGAGTGGTCCAATATTTTCATATGTTGCTCTTCACCACTGCCCATCACATCTATCCTACTGCCTATGGCAGGCGAGAATATTGCTATTTGGCTAGTTTCTGAAAACCTGGTTGATAAAACTGTACGTTCTAAATCTTGCTTGAAAATTATTTCCTTATTTAACAAATCTGACTGACTTTGTGTTGTTGGTTCACCTATGTGACTGGTCACCGCATATTTCTGAGGTACACACTTGCAATCTGAAACAACCTTCTCTTCAGGCAAATGAGACTGGCCAATATCTGACACAGTGGTTTCTAAGAGAAAACTGGCCATGCTAAGTTCTCTTTGATTATGTAGTACTTCTCTACGTTCAGTATCCATTTGAATTGGTTCCTCACTTCTGTTATCTTCCATTTCAATAGCTTTTCTCCATGAGCTCCTGATTTCAGTTACTAATTAAAGGGGGGAAAACACAATTTATTAATATTCCCAAACATAGAGCATGCAATTAATCATTTTATTTCTAGTGCTAAAGATAAAGCTCCTGACTCAGTCTATGTTCCATATATATACTGGTTGGATGACAAGGCTCCACAATATAACAAACCTCAACAACATCAAAGAACTAACTCCATCTCCAACTGATCAAACACAAGTAAACACATATAACAAAAGCTGTTCCTGGCCAGGCGTGGTGGCTCACGCCTGTAATCCTAGCACTCTGGGAGGCCGAGGCGGGCGGATTGTTTGTGCTCAGGAGTTCGAGACCAGCCTGAGCAAGAGCGAGACCCTGTCTCTACTAAAAATAGAAAGAAATTAATTGGACAGCTAAAAATATATAGAAAAAAATTAGCCGGGCATGGTGGCGCATGCCTGTAGTCCCAGCTACTCGGGAGGCTGAGGCAGAAGGATTGCTTGAGCCCAGGAGTTTGAGGTTGCTGTAAGCTAGGCTGACGCCACGGCACTCACTCTAGCCCAGGCAACAAAGCGAGACTCTGTCTCAAAAAAAAAAAAGCTGTTCCTGAAATGTGCATCTACTTTTACACAACATGTATAAATTACATATATTAAAAAGACATTTTCTTGTCCATCTAGGCCAAGGGCTGGCAAATTTTCCTGAAAATGGCCAGATAGTAATATTTTAGGCTTTGCGGGCCATCCATTCTATCACAATGACTCAACTCTGCCATTACAGCATGAAAATAGCCATAAACAATATCAACAAATGAGCAAGCTTGTGTTCAATACAATTTTATTTACAAAATCATACAGGACAGAGACAGATTTGTCTCACAAGCTGTAGTTTGCCGACCACTGATCTAGGTTCTGTCTCAGTATGACCTAAATTAAATCAGCAGTAGAACAGAAATTATATTTAATCACTCAACAAAGATGATCTGCCTACATAAGGATGTTAATATCAGAACTTTGTCTACACATATTATAGGTTATAGAAAAAAGTATTGGGCAGTTTGACTAATTTGGGAAGGGTAAAGATCTGTGCACAAAATTTTTGGCTGATATTTCTGGTTGTTGACTGGGAGAACACAGCCTCTATACTCTATAAATGTGGATCACAGGTCAGATCCAGAGGTAGGGCATTTTTTTTTAAAGCGATCAAATAAAATCCCTACAGAAAAAAGCCAAGTAAAACAACAAAGACAAAACTATATATTATCAGGGTTGAATATACCGCTGTGTATTAAGTATATTAAAGGCGCAAAATATTGCTTAAAGATTGCTGCATAAGTGAGAATGCCCACACTTAATACTTAAAAGTCCCTTGTATCAGAACAAATAAAGAGCTATTGCCAAGTAAGCTGAAAAGATCTGTCAGACCATGGTTCTAACAGTGGTAGTATTTAAGAAAGAAAAAAAAAAAGGTATAGAAAATATTATTAACTTACTCAAGTTTTCTGGAGTACGGGGAATTTGGTTCCTTGTTAAGAAGGGGTTAGAAACTAAAGAATCAATTAGTTCCTCTAATTTTACTTCTTTTCCTTCAGAGAGCTGGGGTGAATCAGATAAAACTGCCCTGGCAACCTAAAACAGAAACAAAAAGTAAAACAAAAATCATCAAGCCCATTGGTAAAATGCGACAGAAGCCCTGATAAGAATAATAAGCACTTCACTGTCAGCAGCCCCTTCCATAGGAGACAGCACAAAAATAAGCAGCAATGAACTTCCCGGATAGCTCTGTACAGGTACAATCCAGGAAAGTGAAATGGCAACATAAAAGTATGTCCTCCTTATTGTAAATGGATAACCCATTACAAAGGAGAGAAGAGATAAGAATCTTTATACTTGGGAAGATTTAGAGGCAGTTCTGACTGTGTAGTGACCTAAGCTGCTATCTGCCACATCTTTGAGAATGACAACCATGTATCCACTAAAATGACCAGGTTTTTTTCTATTGGCTTTTTTATTAATTATGTTACATTTATTAGTAGGTATTAAAATTACATTTTAACCATTTTCAGAGAAAGAATATGTTACCTGCCCTGTCTAAACTGTTTCAAGGTTAATATCCTCAATGCTCTGGAAGAGGACTAAACTGTACCTTAAAATGACCAGTTTTAAAGCAAGCAGATTCTTCTTAATTATAATCAATTTGCGCAGTAACACCTCTGTTAACAAATAGAATACATTCTGAAAATATATTTCTTTGCCAGAAACTTTATTATCAGATCTAAATTAGTGAATAAAACACAGAGATACATTCTAAAACAAAGAAAAGAAAGAATATAATATGAAAATAGCACTCTCTATTAACTAATTAGCAATAAAACTGAAAAACAAAAAACACACAAATTAAAATCTCTGCCCCTCTGAGATCACTAAAAAATAAACTTCCTGAAACCACAATCAAATTGACCCAGGAAAACAAAGAGCTTCTTGGAATTCAAACACTAAATATCCCTTGTGGTAAACACTATTAAAGAAAATTAATTTCACTTTACTCGGAGAGCTCTGTGAGATTTTAGGACTCTCCTCTTCTGTCCCATCCCATTCCACTGCTAATCCAAATCCTTTTAACCAGAAAATGTGTCTTTCCCTCCACAATTTGGAAAGAAGAAAGACAGACTGATCATCTTTTCTTTAATGTAGAGTCAATGAAGAGAAACAATATAACTATAGAGATTTAAACCTATTTAGAGGCCAGGTGCAGTGGCTCATGCCTGTAATCCTAGCACTGTGGGAGGACGAGGCAGATGGATCATTTGAGCTCAGAAGTTCGAGACCAGCCTGAGCAAGAGCAAGACCCTGTCTCAACTAGAACCAGAAAGAAATTAGCTGGACAACTAAAAATATGTAGAAAAAATTAGCCAGGCATGGTGGCACATGCCTGTAGTCCCAGCTACTAGGGAAGGCTGAGGCAGGAGGGTCGCTTGAGCCCAGCAGTTTGAGGTTGCTGTGAGCTAGGCTGATGCCATGGCACTCTAGCCCTGGCAACAGAGTAAGACTCTGTCTCAAAAAAAAAAAAAAAAAAACTATTTAGAGACTGGAGGGCAAGGGAGGGGGGAAAAAAAAAGTAGTTAGAGACCATGAAACTGGTCCTCATGTTACAAACAAGAAAAATGACTGACACATTATTTGCACAATGTTCATTCAGTTTGCTTGGGAATAGAACAAAGGAGGGAACTTCAACACTCAAATTAATATCTACTATATGAAATTTTTCTTTCAGTATCTCAGGAATAAAAAGTAACTGATTTACTTTCTAGCTGCTAAAAATTCAAGCAATGCGAAGGGATATTGTGGGAAATGTAATAAAAATAATACTAGTGACTAGATTGAGTATTTAATTTGTGTAAACTGAGTTCAGCAATACTGAGCAATGGTAGTATTATGTGGTCACTTACCAGTGAAAAATAGCATAGCATTAAGGGACAGGGCTGGTTAGGACAATCAAGTTCATGAACAATGCATTTAAACACTTTTTAAATATTTAGGAAGCAAAAAGAATAAAACCTATGCTCAGTGATATAATATTGCATATTCTTTGTTCTAATATTCAAATAAAGAGGAAGCTCAGGTAAGCAACAGACAACACTGACAAAATATTTTAATAGAGCATAATCATTGGATAAATTTATCTAAAAATTTATGTAATGGTTAATCCCCAAACTATCTCACATGTATTATTTTTATACTTCCAGATATTTGCAGAATGGAAAGCAGGTTCTAAACCATGGATGTACTCTTAACTAAATGAGTTTATATTAAATCTATTCCTACTTTTTGGGGGGACCAATTTTGCTTTAATCATGATTTTTCTTATCTGTGACCTCCTTTCCTCCAAATTATCCCAGTTGATAATTAACCATATTTCACCTATGATCCCACCACCATTGAGAAAGTAATAGATATGTAAGTATACTTATTATAATCTTTTCTAACCTCTTCTACCAGATGATCTTGCTCTTTTTGGAATGGATCATTTTTTTTGGCTGGCAGAGATCCTCCAAATGCACTACTTTCTGTATTCTTTGCAATATCTGATAATGGAGAATCTTCCGCTTCAAATTCTGGTATTTTCTTAGAAATTGTTTCATTTTTCTCTTTGGGAGTTCTTATTTTCATGTCCTGAAGCAGAGAGACATGTTATGTTAAAACCTTAATAACCATGGCTGATCTTGAAGCTATCTGCATTAGAGGTTCATTGATTATCATGAACCTATTAAAGGTTGTTAATATTACTGTGAAAGTATATAGTCACAGGCAGAATTAATTAATTCCAATATTCCCACTTAGAAAGAGAAAACTCATAAAGAAATATGGTAAAAAAAAATGTGTAAAAACTGGAAAATGTGAAAATAGAAATTAAATTTAATTAAACTGTGATATCAATAAAAATGAATACTTCATCATAACTTATTATAGTCAAAATTAATTGAAAGTTGTTTTTTTTCTCACCAAAAAGCAGCATTGATTGAAAATTGTTTTAAAATGTACCTT